TGCGGGCCCACCCCAGCAGCCCCCCAACTGCTCTGCCCCAGCCTTCCCCAAGTCAGCCACTGGTCAGTTTCAGCAGCAGCTGACATGGGGAAGTCTGGGGCAGAGCAGCTGGGGTGCTGCCGGGTTGGTCCCGCAGTGCCAAGGGGCGCTTCCCCCCTCCCACTCCACTCCAGACCCCTCATAGCCCCCCCTTCCGATAGTCCAGCATATTTGATAATCCAACACCCCCTGGGTCCTAAAGGTGCCGGATTTCCAGAAGTTTACTGTACTTCAGTCAGCTAGTCTTCCCACTAACTGCAACAGAGAGTGAATAAGTAAGCAATGAAGGATCAAGCTGTACAGTGATGCAAATATAAAAGACCATCATAATAGAAAAATGTCACATTTTCATTTGAAAAAGTTTTGTAACAGCAAGCAACTTACACTGCAAAATTACTAGAACTGAACAATAAGAAAAATATTTCCTCTTTTTTTTATTTCAGTTTATTTATGTTGTGTGTTTGACAGCATTTTGGTTATCATCAGTTTCCCCTATGATTATGATGGGTTTTTTTACAAGGCATCACGTAAAAGAAAAATATAGAAAATTGATTATAAGTCTACAAAAATTGGCAGCAGGTTTCAGGGGCAGAACTGAATGTACTTCCTTCTCTCTCCCCGCCCCCGCCCCTGCCCCCTCTTGTCTCTAGTGGTCTAATCCTGAAAAACCTTACTACCAGCTGTATCGCTTGCAATTACATATAGTCTTACTGAAATCAATGGTATACTGCTTCCTATTATCGTAACTTAATCAAGTAAGAGTTTGGTTGTGCCAGGAAAATGGGATGTGCCTAAAATGGAATTGCTTCTCATAAAATCATACAGAAAAGAGACAGAATCAGCAGGCGGCTGAAAGAGGCTGGCTGGGGGATGCGCCCCCACCCTGTCCAGGACTACCCCAGCCTTTCACCCTGCAGGTACCTCTCCCCCACCCGGATTTATACGAGAACATTGCTGACTGTTCCTCTTCATCACGGAGTGAGGGAAAAGTGCACATTTTGCTGCATTCCTCACTCTGGTTGGGGAGCAGGAGCGGCCCGAGGCCAGCTACGGAAGCTGGCACCCTAGGCAGCGCCCCCGCCTACACGGCTGTCAATGGCCATGACGTGACATCATCACCATCAGGCACCCAGGCCAGCGGCGCCCTAGGCAACTGCCTAGTTTGCCTAGGCTCACGGGCCGCCCCTGTTGAGGAGTGCAGGGGGTAGACGAACCTGGACCTGCCCCTGCCAGGGCACATGCATCCCTCCCCCAGCTGTGCCCACTGGAGCTACAGTGGCCATGGAGAGACACTTCTCATCTAGCCACAAGCTGCTGCTGTGACAGAGGGATGGGGTAATCCTCTCTCCCTAGAGCAGTTTGCATACTCATCCCCAGCCCCAGCCCCAGGGAAATGATTTAAATGAAGAAAAACAAAAATTAACTGAGTTAACAACCCGAGAAATATCAGGTAAATCTTCTAGTTGCAAATAAAAAGATATTCAATATCCAAATGAAATTCCTCACACATATTACAATTCTGACATAGATCACATTTGGGGCTCAACACAGGAAGATACAATCCTTTAGAGTCAAGGAATGCATTTCATGTATTAACTACATTTGCATGTTAACATAATAATATAAGTGTAATTTAAAGATATTAAATTGGGACACATCTCTAGTGAGTATGTCATTAATCAGAATTTAAAACAATAACAAGGCTCAGTAAGGGCAACGGCTCTCTACATAGAAAAGGGCCAAATGCTATCCTGTCACACAGTAACATCAAGGGGATAACACAGAAAACATCAGGTTAAAATTATTTTCATTATATCAATTAAATAAAGCAGTCACAACAAGTTGGGCATGAGTTGTATCACATGCACTCCACTGTGGTTTGGTAGTATACTTTTCAGGATTTTCCAAACATTTTAAAGTCTTAAATTTGGTACTAGATTGCACAAAGCTCACAGTTTCACCTGATCCATCCATCCTATCTGGTACTAATAGTGAACTATCAGAGCAGGATCATGCACCACACAGAACCACTGTGAAAGTGACAATGATCTCATGGTCTGTCAGTTTTACACTTCTGTTAGTGCTGCTATGAGGAAGCTCCTCTGTGCAAAAGCACAGCATGCATAAAGTGCTAATTAAAGTTACTTGGTGTTCCAGAAGGGGGAAAATAAAGCAGGCGGTAATGGAATAAGGAGTTTAAATACCCAGTGAAAGGAAGGAGCAAAAGGAGATCAAGAGCTGGAATAAACAGGATATACCTTGGATCACACCTATAACACTGGAGTGACTCTTGCTTACAATAGTTTTTAACAGTGGGTTCCCCTCAGCTGATTCTGAAAGGTTTATCTGTTAGAATAGATAGGACAAGACTATTTTGCACACATCTACAGGAGGCATGATGAAGACCCCAGCAGAATGGTGTACCCCGCCATTTCTTCAAAGCTTTTGAAAACTTCATTGTCCAGATTACACTAACAGCTGACCTTTTTCCAAAACCACTTGAGATGGCGTGGTAAGGGGTAGCCTTTTCTGACAACTGTTATCAACAACAGATCATTTTTCTACTATATGTGGAACCACGGAGAGAGTAATAACAGGGATGGTGGCAAGAAAAGGGTAGAAGGAAATAAGATTTTACCATAAAAATATTGTAAACCTTATTCTATCAAAATCATACAGAAGGTGAATCCCTTCCAACAAAGAAAAGGTACAGCATAATATTTCATGTTGTATCAGCTAAGTGGAAAAAAAGAGTTTGGGTTTTCTTTCAACATTAACTTCTTATTCTCAGTTAAATTTAAAATCAACTTAATTTAAAAATACTTCAACATTATTTTAAAACATTTACATTAAAGAAAGGCAAAGAAAAATTGGCATGACAGAGTAATGAAGTCATTGGTAAATGCATACCACAAATTGCAGTCTTTAAATT